TTGAACTGCAGATAACAGTCAGCTGAAGTGGCCTGCAGTACAGCACTCTAACCACTGCGCCACCTCATCCTGGAGCCGTTCTCCATCCAGGAGGGACCAGGATCTAACTCATTAGTCCCCAACCCTTCCGCCTCCGGCAAACCAGCGGCAGTGGTAGAGGGGAGGGGTTTCACACGGGCAGGCATGCCACTTTCGTAAGCACAGCTTCAGGGGCGTGCGTGCCCACTTCTGCGTCCCACTTCTGAATTGGACCCCTGATCTAACTGACCGGCGATTGCCCTGATAGTCTCCAGGACCCTGTCCACTTCCTCAAGTCCCACAAAGTTACATCATCCCCAGATATTTGGGCAGCACCTCCCCCATATCTTAAAATCTACACTTTTAAAAGTATATTTTGCTCCTATATTTCCCAATGACTAAATCTTTGTAGCTGCACCCATAATTTCCGGACTTCGTTGCCAGGGGAAACTGTTTGCTAGGACAACCTGACTGAAGCGGTCGTTAAACTCCCCTTAAACTCTGTGGAGTGGAGAAAGACAACCGGGGTGTCGTTCCTTCACTACCTCGGGGCTCCTAAGAGGGTTCCCCAAATCTCCCAATGCAGGCGTCCAAGTGGTAGTTGAAAAACTCAACCACCGGAAAAGAGCTTCTTGGACTCGGCTCCTCATCCCACCCCACATCTTTTTTTTAGCAGGATGCTAAAAGTGGGGACCACAGCAGAGGTGGGTTGCTACCAGTTCGCACCAGTTCAAGTGCACCAGTAGTGAAATTTTGGCCTTGGTTGTAGTACCGACAGTGACCCAGGCTGGCCACGCCCCTGTGCCCATTCCCCATTCCTTTTCAACTTCTACATGAAACCACTGGGTGGGATCATCCTTCACCAGGGGTTGGGGTATAAATAAACAAAGTTATCACTAGAAGTCAGTACCGGTTTGTTAAAAACAGATCATGTCAAACCAATCTTATTTCGTTCTTTGGCAAAGTGATTCGCTTTTTTTGGCTCAGTCCTGATCACCTAACCCAGGCGGCGGCAACCTGCGGCTGTGGAGCTGCATGTGGCTCTTTCATCCCTCTGCTGTGGCTCCCTGTTGCCAGTCGGCTCCACAATTGATAGGGCTTTCAGTTAGGACAGGTAGAGGAAAAAGGACTGTGCTAGGAGGAGACTCTATGGTGGGGGAACCGGGCTCCCAGTTGCCTCCAGAATTGACCGGGGGGCTTCCAGTTAGGACCTTTGTGGCTCTTTGTGTGTTTAAGGTTGCTGACCCCTGACCCAACTTGTTCTGAAGGCTTTTCTCAAAAATCAAAAGGGAAGGGCCGAGGTGGCGCAGTGGGTAGAGTACAGTACTGCAGCCACTTCAGCTGACTGCTATCTGTAGTTCAGCGATTCTAATCTCACCAGCTCAAGGTTGACTCAGCCTTCCATCCTTCCGAGGTGGGTGAAATGAGGACCCGGATTGTTGTTGGGGGCGATATGCTGA